ATTCGGAGTACCTGAAGCGGGATTGAATGGACCGTCCCTGTGCGGTTGCTTGTATCGGGGCGGCCGCTTGAACTGCCCCGAGGAATCAATGGACGACTGTACTGTGTTCAATCTTGACGTTGAGACCTTCTGCGATATCTACCTATCAATCAATCAATCAATCAATCAATCAAATCAATCATATTTATATAGCCGCCCATCTCACACAAGGTGACTCTCGGCGGCGTACGACAATTAATTCCCTGATTGCCTGAAACCTTTTGATGTAACTGCTCAGTAGTGCTGTTAAAATCTCGTTTTTCCAAAAACTGCGTCTGCAGGAGCACCCTATTTTCCGGTCACTTCCCTCCCCCACCCCAATTTATATCCTCCATCAGTCTGACCCAGTGTTTCTCAACCTTGGCAGCTTGAAGATGGGTGGACTTCAACTCCCAGAATCCCCCAGCCAGCATTGAAGTCCCATCTTCAAGCTGCCAAGGTTGAGAAACACTGGGCTAGCTACTCCATGTATCTGACAAAGGGAGCTCCAGCTCATGAAAGCCTATGCCTTTTAATAAAATGTGTTAGTTGGAGAACGTGCTCTCAGACTCCTGATTTTTTGTTACTATAGATTTGGAGTGTTTTGGCATAGGAGTCTTCAAACAGGACTGATGTATCTGGGCTGCAGAAATTCAGACCAGCACTAGAAGGCAGCAAAGTTAAGGTTTTCTTTGAATCTTTTCTGTCCTCTAGTGGTCATCTGGAGTTTTGCAGCCCAGATCTATGCTGAGTTGACCAGTAGGTCATTGCTGCACTTTGAACAACTCTCCCACTCTCTAGGAATTTCAGTATGCCCCTGTGATCTTATGTCTACATAGGCTATGTCACCCACATTGACCAGGTCAGATAAAGGACAAGTATTTGCAGAACATGCCAAACCTGGTTAGTGCTAACCTTGTTTAGGATTGTGTGGCTTAGTGTGGTGGGCAAATGGAGCCTATGGAAGAAGCAGGACAGAAAGTATTTTGAACTTTGATGTTGGAGAAGACTCCTGAGAATACTGTGGACAGCCAAGAGAACAAACAAATAGATCATCAAACAAATCAACCCAGAGTTCTCACTTGAGGCCCCAATGACCAGGCTCAAATGATCCTACTTCAGACATTATGCAAGGATCCAGCTCTCTGGAACAGGCAAGGTGGGAAAGGTGGAAGGAATGACCAGCAGCAAGATAGTTACAGTGGTGATGGGTGCACCATTGGAAGTCCTGAAATATCAGGTTAGGGACCGATCATCATGGAGAAAACCTATCTGGGTGGTTGTAAAGAGTTGACACACACTTGATGGCGCATAATCAATCAAATGGAGCCTACTTGGTTAGCTTAGCATTCTGTGTGCTGTGTGAACTCAGGAAGTGGGTTAATTTAGTGACTAAGTTGTGTGTATCACTGAAGTAACCATGTAGTAGAGTAAGGAGACACAAAGATCAGTGTGGCATTACAAACTGTCAACCTCCAGCATCAGTTTTATTTTTAAAGTGCCACTGAGCATCAGATAGGCATCTCTAGAAAATAAAACTAGTGGTTAACAACAGCTCAGCTTTAGCAAAGGCTTAACTCTTTTTCCAAGGTGGAAAAAAAACCCAGCAATTATATATGTGTAACATTTTAAGGCATGGTTAACCTAACCTTAATTTCATCTTTGTGTGTGTGTGTGTAAAATATAAAATATTTTATATATACACATACATACTGTACATACGTACATACAAACACAAACCACAGGATAGGGCTTCATAAGACATTAAGTTAAAATGTACTCGGGTTCAATGTAATATGCAAACGCAGTTAGCTGGGAGGAATAGACTCCATTATGGGGTCTGGCAGAGATCGACCTCCTAATTTTCATTTTAGTGCTTGGATGTTTGAGACTGACCACGCCTGGTTCAAGAGCTGTTCTGGGAGAAGGAAAGCCGCTCTCCGTGGATTCATGGTTAGGTTCCTCTGTACGATGAACTAAGATTTGGTTGGCTAGTTTGTGCTTTTGTGTGTTGTGTGAATCCTGTTAGTGTGGTTAACTTCAGAAAAGAAGTAAATGGTAACTCAACTAAGCATACGTTGATATGCTTTTGCAGGCAGTTCTACACAAAGCTTCTGACTAATAGTAGAACTGGAAATGTGCAGAAAACGTTTCTGTGCATAGTTTCCTTGTTCCTTTCCTCCTCCCCCTGGCTCTCCCCTCCACTTCACAAACACCATTCTGTATTCCCTGTGTGTGTTCATTCCACATTGGGTGGTGTTGATTTTTCTGTATTTTTGAGGATTGGACATAGTAAAGCAAAGGCCCAGACACATTAATATCATGGATTTTTCCATTTATGTGTATGGATAACTATCCCTGGGGACACTTAAAAATAGCTTTTCAGTAGGACCTGAAATTACTTAGACAACATTCTGAAGGGAAACCAGATATGGTTCTGTCTATACTTTTTATATCTATAATATCTTTCTTTGTATTTTTTTTTCCCAGTCACTTTGCTGCATTTCTCTTACTCATCCATTAGATTTCTTTTTCTCTCGGTGATCGGTCAGCATTCTAGTACAATGGAGCACAGTTTATTTAGGCCGGTGTGTGCCTTTGAGTCAGTGTTGACTCCTGGCGACTGCCCGGAAAAGTCCCTGCAGTTTTCTTGGCAACATTTTCAGAAGTGGCTTGCTACTGCCTCCTTCCTAGGGCTGAGAGACAGTGACTGGCCCAAGGCCACCTAGTTGGCCTCATGCCTAAGGCAGAACTAGAACTCATGGTCTCCTGGTTTCTAGCCTTCTGCCTTAACCATTACACCAAACTGGCTCTCAGTCTAAAATATTTTCCCCCAAAAAACTTTCATCTGGGTGTAAATTCAGAATCTTCTACCCTTCCGTCTTCTGCGCTGGCAACTTACAGTGGCATAAGCAACAGTGTTTGGAACTAACTGAAATTAGAAGACAGGATGATGGTAAGATGGCATTGTTAATAGTAGCCGCAGGGAAAATTAGAGAAAACTTAGGTTCGCCCAACTTTTTTCGTTTTCTGCTATAGTCGCTGGCATTCCCATTACTTTGCTGTCTGGCATTTAAAAATACTCCCTGACTGTTCTTGCTCTCTCTTATTTCTTTTTCAATTGTAAAAAATTAATGTACACGCAGCCTGTCGTTTTGTACTGATTGTGCATTAAAGGTTTTTCTATGAAGTAGTATTACATTATATACATAGATAGATACCATAGATAGATAGATAGATAGATAGATAGATAGATAGATAGATAGATAGATAGATTCTGCATGAGATCCACATGGTTCAAGACTTGCCACCAGTTTATCAACTAGTGACTCATTACTTCCAGACAACCCATGAAATGGGCTTGAGAAGGACAATCACAATGGAAAATAATTATCAGAGACGTTTCTCCCCAGTGATCTTCCTAAGACCAGGATGACAAACCTAATTGTGGTGGATGCAGTAGAGAGGGCACGATTGATGTCAGGCCCAATCCAAGAACAACAGGGAAACAGTTCATCCAAATTCAGTTCTGTTATTGCTTACACCATATAGACAGAATCTTGCCAGACTAAATCTGTACTACTGCAACTAGTGGATATACCCTGGGAGATTCTAGGGAGTGGCTGTTCTAAACGTCTTTCGCTCCCCACGCTCCTGCTTCCAACTGTGTTGTCTCTTACCTCTTTGTCCTTCCTGGAATTCAACCCCTCCTTGCTGAGAACCTTGCTCTCTACCGCAATCCACCACATCACACCCACCCCCCATAGATACATTCCATCACACTAACCCAGTCCAAGGGCCAGGTCTCTCTTGGGGACAGGAACAGTGGGCTGAGGGTGTGTGTCAAAGTCTGCAAGATGGCAGGCGTGGCATTATGATCTAAGCCCCACCCCTTTTGTGGGCATGTCATAAAGACAAGCCTTCCATCACAGTACTGGCTGTGCAGATTTTGAACCCTCCCCACCACCCATGAATGCCTCTGCTTGGGGACTGAATGATGTGATGAGAAAGACCCCCAAACTCTCCCTCCCTGAAGAAGAGCTATAATACCAAGAGTTGAAAGTGCTCCCAGGGTTAAGCATAAATAAACAACCAAATTCAGACTTCTCCATCAGAACTGGCTTTGTCTTTCCAATTATGCATTGTGGGA